GATTAACCTCTGGTTAACAGTTAACAAGAAAATGAAAAATCGGGCCTAAGAGAGAGGTAAATTAAAAGTTAAAAGTTACCGATTAAATGTAACTAAATTCAGGTAAAAGTTAACAGTCTATAATGTAACTATTTGTATCTTTTTAACTAGACACTACCCAACCCTAGAAATGATAAATAAAAATTGATTTTGCTTCAACACAAATTATTTTCAAATGAAGTTATACGATCTTGTACGTTCTTTTTGCCACTCTACTCGTTTGATATCAAGTTGAAGTATCTCCCACGTCCCAATGAATAAATGTATTAAAATAGATTGACATACGGAACACGTATACCGTTTCCAAAGTTTTCAACAATTTCGAGGGAAGGGGAGAAAGGGCTGACGGAGGAAGAGGTTCAAAGATAAAAAAGCTCACAAGTTCGCTCGAATATAAACATACACGTCGAGCGGGTTTATTCCCTTCGTTTGTGCCGGCCGCCGAATTTGCCGCAAAATCGGTTCGCAGAAATGCGACGTCTCGCGTGTACATCCTCAAAAGACAGATGTCGAGCGAAACGCGTGATATTTTTATCCGCAATTCCAGTTTCGCTTGTGCAAGAATTTCCTCGCTCGCAGCAGAAGTTTGCGACTTGTCGATTATCTCGTCACACTCGGGGAGATCGTAAAAATAATTAATAGCCGACGTTGCAACAACTGATAATCACTTTGCCTAATAGCAATCTGTTATTCATGCGAGCGACAGGTTTCGTCGGCAAACGAACGGGTATAGGCATGATTCATTATTCATCGAGCACCAAACGCGTACTCTCGATTGATAGTCGTTACGAAAATCGGCAATTGATTTGATTGAAAATTAACGTTCCTTGGATGGCCGTCGCAGAAATATTTATGCAAACGAATTTAACTTTCAAGTGCACGCGGAAACATTTTTTTTCTCCTGGCGGGGACGCTCGATTCGCGATCGTCAAGCAAATTTTATATTGATTTAACAAGCCTGTTTAAGAGGCTGATAAAACGCGGCGCGACGCGTTTCTATTTCTGGTGAATCCGCAAACGCGATTAAGTTAGCGGTGATCCGCAATTATCCGGTCAGATATTATTCTTTAATCTAATTTATTCTTTTGTGTAATCAAAATATATGTCGACTTTTACGCGTAGTAGATATTTTAGTATATCTTCCAAGATCATTTCTGCTTCGCGTTTGCATAAAACTGACGTTAAATATGAATAAATTCCCTGAAATTCTTCTCTCTCTCTCTCCTCGTCGGTTTTGATCTAATTTCTCTTGGTTCTGATTTAATTTCGCAATTTCTCAATTTACGCAGTTTGTATTTACGCACTTTCTATTGCTTATTTTCACTTAATATTATGATACATTTTATGCGCCCTTATAAACGCGAATCGATGTCTTTAAAGTCCCTGCGATAAGGTTATTTTATCCTCAAACGATACCGCGTGTTTCATGAATTATTAATGGCCGCCAATGATAGGTCATGTATCCTAATTTTTGTGCGTTGATGTGTACGGGCGAAGTTTCGGGCGTCGAAAAAAAATCGCACCTCATTCTCCACGACGCGCGACGATGTATTTGTCATGCATATTAATGACGGCTGATGGACAAGCGGCGACTGAATTGCCCGACAACCTAATTTTCGCGCGTTAGGACGAGCGGAGAGAAATTTGTGACGTTCACTTAAGTCGTTTCTCACACAATGTATAAATGGGTTTATAATATCTGTCAATAGATTATTAGACAAATTTACCGGTTTTATTATTTATCTCTAACGGTATTTTTAACGAAAATATGGAGAAATTTAAGTACACAATTATTTAATATCAGTTGAAATTTATGGAAAGAAAGAGAGAGAGAGAGAGAGAGAGAAAGAGAAACAAAGTACGATTTTGTCATGTTAAAACTTTACGCGGAAGTGCTTTTAAGAAAGTCGAATTTGAGACGCAAAACAAGAAATATTTAATACTGCAATTTACAAAACTATTCGATACATACAGCTTATCTATCGGATTTGTGTTCTTTGAGAGGCAGCTGCGCGCGAAAGGGTTAAGGACACGCCGCGATTGAATAAGTGCGCTTTCCCCGAAACGTTTTCGTAAACCAACACGCATAATTCGCAGTCCGTTACGGCCGCGAGGGCAATTGACACCTATCGCGATTGAAAAGGGAGCGGAGCTTCGTGGAGTCGGTCATCTCGCTGCGGTCGAGCCAGAAGAACGGCGCAAGGTCTCTCTCTCTCTCTCTCTCTCTCTTCGTGCAGGTTCAGGGATTCCTGAAAATTATTAACGGCACCGCGCGGAGTTACGGCAGGCGTGTCATTCCTCGGGTGGAACCAGTGGTTCTCATCGCGTGCGCGTCGTCGCGCGTAATTCCCGGCCGTCAGTAAATCGGCGATTTGCGGTGGACGGTGACGGATTTGCAAGTATAATGAAAAGTGCCGGGTTAACGTTAAAGCGCCGTGCCGTCGCGATGCGGGAGAAAATAACGAGAAGATCGCATAGGGGCGAGCATGAGCGCCCGGAGCCAGCAAGGGATGGGGAGTGAAAGGACGGAGCGAGAGGAAAATACGCGTGGGTTAAAAGGGGAGGAGAGGGGGGGGGGAGGAGAAAAAAGAGTAAGTACCGGGAATAAATTAAACTAATTGAGTAAATTAGCCAGCTGTTCACGCAACGATGGTATACGGACACGCTCTCCTCGGTAAGAAGTCACCGTCGTCACGCAGAAAACTTGTATCCGTGCGCCCTTTTGAATAAATGAGTGTAGCGCAGGTCGAACGTTTAAACCCGCGGAAATTAGGAAGTTCGAATGCGCATAAATCAAAATCGATATTAACGATCTGACGAGTATCCTACGGTATCTGAGCCACAAATTACATTGAAATAATTTATGGTAAATTAGTGCATTTTACTAAACTAGAATTTATTTCCGGATGATATTTCGTCTAGAGCGAGCCCGTGTGCAATTTCGGCGTACAAGTTTTGAGACATCACTCGACATGAAATGATACCATTATACGATCAATTCGTTAAGAAAAGACTCGAAGTTCGTATTAAGTTTTCTAGTTATTTTGCAAGGTCAGTGGTTTCTCGACCATACCTGGCATTTTTAATAATACAGAAAATTTGTTGCGAAAAATATTACCTTAGCCAGGATTTCAACCTGGACGTTGTTAATTATCGCTGGCGACATTGAAGGATTCTTATTAGTTGATTATTTTACAATGTTACGCCATAAAGCATTTAGGCGCATAAAACATTGTATAATAATACAAAGTTATTTATATCTTGATTGTGTTCCGTGCCATACTTGTTGCAATATTTCATCTTTTTTGCGACTCCCCAGTTTCACGTAATCATAAATATATGTATGCGAAAGAGATGAAACATAATGTCTCGATCGTCGAACGACGGCATTAATCAGGTATAATAAAAATGGATAGGAACTGAGCAATACTTTAATGTTTGGTATTTAAATATTCAAATGTATTCAAATCGTGCGATTACCGTTCAACAAAAGAATGAACATTATTGAAATTTAATGACGGATATGATATGCGTCTTTTAGCGCTGATTAATCGCGGATGTCTTTAATGATCGATTTATGATATTATTCAAATACAATAAATGTTACAAGAAGATAATCTCTTATTCGGTACAAAATTATACTACGAACTATAGTTTCTTTAGTGCTTTAATAACATTGTTGTTATCGAACTCTTCTTTATTACAAATTGCGTAATAACTAATTAACGAATAATCATGTTGATTATAGATTAACTGACATTAATGGCCTTGGAATATAAATAATTATTATACGTTTAATCTTATGTATAATAATTTTGTTTTAATTGATCATTTAAAATATAATGATTTAGTTTCTATTTAATTTTTTTACAGTGCGGGATTTATGTAATTTCTTCAGTCTTTTTGGTTGATTATACAATAACTATTATTTTAACCTTTTAGTAGCTCGTTATATTATCGGCCTTTTCCTTTATGATTTTACAAAAGCACGAGCCTATTTAGCTATTTATAAATAATTATTTGTATGTGTACCGTTTCCTTGGTAACGTAAACATTTTAACAGATATTACGACAGATAATTTTCACAAATTTTGTAGTAACAATGAGTAAAGTAATTGTTTAAACGATCCAACAGACAGTCGCGTGTCTAATAATTTTTGCAGTAATAACGGGCGCCTTTGAAAAGGGTTGAGCAAATAATTAAAGACTCATGATTGACGATTTGTATGTTGCTCGAAGGATATCGCATTTCGCCATACGGGTAGGCAAATTACAGGTGGGGATACGTGACCGCGTGGAGAACTTAAGTAATTCTTAAGTAATTCTTCGCGCGCGCTCGCGGGCTTCGAAACTATTATCCAAACGAAATGTCAGAGGATACAGGATAATTGTCGTTGCGCAAGAGATTTTCGCCTTCGCGCCAAAGAAGACGCCTAACCGCATTATTACCGCCAATTATTGCCTCATTTTTCCAACAAACTTTGACGCACGCAGCTGCTTATTATTAAAGTTATTTCGAAGTTACGCCATGATACGCTAGTATATATATATATATACATAATTAGAGACAACTAATCAATTTTAATTCGACACGCTACTATTTTTATTCAGGCAGCATCAGAAATTTATTTGATCGTTCGCTCAATAGGTACGGTTTAATAGATCTTACATTGTTTGAACAATATTGCACTTCCATTTTATTGATATTCTAAATTCCATTTTAGTTATCCCTAAGACTCTGTAGGAAATAGATCTTTTCCGCGTTTGAAAAATTGAATTGAGAAAAGAAATTCAAAACCGTCGAGAAAAAGGGTCGCGTAATATGTTGCACATATTGGGAGCCTCGATAGTAGATCTTACGGTTTAATAACTGAATCGGAAGCGAATCTACAATGTATCTGTGCCACATTATTCGTCCATTTTTCATTTTACGCGAAATAACGTTAAAAGATTCTACTGACCTGTATCCGTGCCTCCGTCAGGCCGATCTTCATGGCGAGCTCCTCCCTAAAAACAAAAATGAAGGTAATCATTAACACAAGAAAAAGGAACCAAGGCCGCGCGTAGCCGCGGGCCTATTTGCGCGTGCGAGTTATCCGATTCTGCTATTGCGATAAACTCGAGTTAACGGAGTGTGAGCTTCAAGTCCGCTCAGATATTATTATCCAACGAGTTCTGAATAGTGCTAAGCGATAATAATAAAATTAATATTCGCCACTTAACGGTTTTCTCGTAATTATTAATATAATATACATATTTACACATATACACGTAGTATACGCACAGTAGGTGCATTATCTTCGTAACAATTTTATAGAAATTATTAATTTTTTTCGCTGGAGAACCATCTTGTTGTCTGATCATGGTCGACGGCTACAATTGCTCAACGTACACTGTACAAAAAGTATGTAAAATTACATACATAATAAGTGTAGCGATTACACTGTTAATATCGGAAATATATGTATAAATTTATATACTTTTATACTCCAAAACAATTTTTTTTTACTCTTTGTTGTGTAAACACTTGTTTATACATGATGAAGAATTACAAAAAATTGTAAAATTTACACAATTAAAAGCAAGCAGTTTACTTATTACACGAGGTAATAATTTTACCTACATGGTGTAAATTTACTGACGTATGTGAATGCACACCTTTAATAGATGGTCCCAATATTACCCACTATAATAATTGCAATTTACATGTACTTTTTTTACAGTGTAAACTTATTCGCGTTAATGTTAAAGGAAAATTGTCTTTATTGTTTATTATTTTAGATAAATACATTGTTGGATTCTTTAAAGTTAACTCTACGTAAAGCTATCTTCGATTGTTTAATTATCTCATTGCTTTTATTTTAAGTTGATAATTTATTACTCCGTACTGAATGATTATTGCGCAAGAAACTAAAAGCAAACTCCTCAGTATTTTAATGAATGACACTTCCTTTTGTCTCTCTTTTTTTCCCCCCTTACGTAATCAAGTGTATATCTAAACGTTTGGGCAGTTAACGGAGTAAACTCACGTAATTGCGACCGCAGTTATTATCTCCCTTGAGTACGCGATTTATTACTTAGGAACGTGATGTAATTTGACGAAAAAAATCATTTAGTTGTCTTTTAATAGCGTCGGGGAATAGCGGTTACATTCTGACCTCGTATCGCATCCGTGAGAAAATCGTAGAAACCGTTCTACGAAATAGCCAGCCTCCTGCCTCGTAAAAAGGCGCGCGTTCATTACCTTAATTAGTTTTGCATCCGAAGCAGATTAGCCGACATAACGACGCACGCTGGGGATTAATTGCATTATGTATCTCGCGGCATTATGTGTGATTTTCCGTTGGATTGCCGGTTGCACGAGCCGTCGTGACGAGAGCTATTAATATCTATTACGAGACGATCAGAATCCGAACGCGCCGCCGTGGCTCCGGCGAGCAGATAGAATCTCGTTTTATATAGGTGACTGCGCTCCCCAACGGCGTATTACGAATACGATTATCCGTGACTAATTGACCGGTCCAGCGCAGCGGTAATGACAAATAATTATTAGCTCGTGATATTTTACATAACGTCGATCGTGTCATACGCCGTGCCGGTCGTTTCCTTTCCGCTCGATTGAATTTCGCATCCTTCGCTCGCGGGCGCATATAACACCACGTCCGCGTCTCACGTATTACGCGATATACCCTTCCGCGAGCGCGTTTGCCGCCGCTCTCGCACCCCGTTGAAATTCGAACCGTCCGGATGCTGCGGGCTACCGATTAAGAGATACGTTAGGGTGTCCCACGTGTCGGAAAATTAATAATATTATTTATGAGCGCAGAACCTATAATTTCAAATCATGATAATTCAGCTATTTATCGCGATTGCGTAGGCATGGTGTTACACCCAGAAAGAAGTTTGAAATCAAAGAAATTTTCATGAAATTTTGTTACTTTAATATCAAAGAACCGATTTTTTTTTTACCTTAACCACAACTTTATTTGATCGAGACTGGAATATCTAAGAGAATTCATATCTGTTTCTTCAAATCTAGCCAAATGTTTCAGTAGAAGTAAACATAAATTTAGTAGATTCAAAGAAAAATGATTTCAACGTGTCTCATTTGTTTAACCTAATTAAATCTTGTTTCTGGGTGTAGGAATTGCGAAGGGTATGGTGTTATACCCTGAAAAACAAATTTTCTTGAAATTTTGACCTCACTTTAATTTAATTTCAAAGAAACGATCTTTTTACCTTAACTAAAATTTTATTTGATCGAGACTGGAACTTCTAAGAGAATTCACATCTATTTTCTACAAATCTAGCCAAATGTTTCAGTAGACGTAAACATAAATTTAGTAGATTTAAAGAAAAATGATTTCAACGTGTCTCATTTGTTTAACCTAATTAAATGTTGTTTCTGGGTGTTGAATTGCGAAGGGTATGGTGTCGCGTTTTATGCGAGAGCGTGCACAAGCGCGACGATAATTTTCTGTTTTTGCTCAAAAGAAATGCGTACGTCATAGGTGTATCGTAATTATTACGCATTCTTTAAGAGTGCAGATTGTGAGGGAAGCATTACGACTACGTTCAAGGAAACGGGGGAAATTAATAGTCATCGACTTTAATAATTAAATTCCTTTCGGTTGATTTACGTCGCTTAAGCGATTGCTCGCAGGATGTTTCCAGTAAAGATAATAACCCGTATAAATCGCCGCTCACATGATTTCACCGGAAATTATGCGAGCGCATTCCCAATTTTTTCCAACTGCGGAACGAGGCGAACCGGAGGTGCGAGGGAATCATTACGAGGTAGGCGTGAATCATGACGGGTGTCAATAACTCATCCCGCACGTTCGAGCGTTCATTCATTCCGGAAATATTGGCGACTATCGCCGTTGTTGCGTGGAAGAAACCGGGCGCTGTGGCGATCGTGCGATCGCGTATATCCGGCGACGGGTAAGAAAAGAAAGAAGAGGGAAAGAATGAATCGGGCAGTGAGACACCCCGCCGGGCGTCTCTCATCTCGCAGGCAAATTGCCCAGATGTTCCACGAAATCGTGAGGAAATCTCGGTGATTATGCCGCGCACAGAAGCTCTCGCGTCCGATCGCCGTGGATCTCGTGTTTAGGTGCATTTCAGACGGTAGCTTCCGAAATTACAGGGATTTCGGGATGAGTCCCGAAGATTGGCCGCGGTCCACGGATTCGTCCGTCGCGTCGATTTTATCATCGCTCGTTCGCCCGATCTCGTTGCATCCCGCTTGAGATTCTTCCTTCGATCGATCCCTCGAGAAGCAAGTCGTATTTTAACTCCCTCTCTTGGCATATCTCAGCAATCGCAAGAAAATAATGTGTATATCGTAGATTTTACTCGCTTATTCCGGTTTAAGTCATCTTTTGTCTCTTTCTAACGGGACAATTGGAAAAAGGCCAAGAATGATTAAACTACACGGAGAGAATTTTTTTTTAAAGATCATCCTGAATTATGTAATCGTGGAGCGACATGGCATTTTGGAGTACTTTATGAGAGTTTGACAAAATTTTATCACATTTGGTGGGGGGAAGAGGGCCATTGCGAGCCAAACGCTGGTATTCGTGCGAAAATATCCAATGTGAAACTTTATTGAATTTATAAATCAGTCATCAAACGTTTCGACCCATTTTTTCGAGTCATCCTCAGTGAGACTATAGAGATAAATACGTTCAACACTTAAATACGAAGCTGTCATCTAGAATTGCCATCTGACATGTTCACATGAGTCTCCAAATGGTGAAAGCCATAGAGAGAGAATGAGAAACCCGAAACTGAAAGAGGACAACATGATGAGCAGTAAACAACTAACTGATGATTTTATCACACATTTTACTATTATAGTAAACTGTATACTAAAATTGCAAAAAACTCTCAAAGTTCTTCAAAACGCCATGTTGTCCCACTCACATGATTTTCAGGGTAAATTTTAAGGGAAAATTCTCTCCGCGCAAGTTGAAAGTTAAACGACGTCGGTGCAAACCGGCGTTAAAGTTCTAATTCGCGATTCAATTCACCAAATTGAGTTTACCGAGAGTTTACCCGCCGAGGGTGACGATTAGTCGAATAATCGAACGATGTTTATCCATTGATTAATCGCCCAAAACGATTTTCATCGTATATCGCGTATCGGCCGGTAATTGTAAAGCGTATTCACGTCGTCAAATCATTTTGATGGCCCGCGCACCGACTTATTGGAGGAAACGTAACTAGAAGACGCGCGCTCGTATACTGCCGCGGTACTCTCTGATTACCCGTTGTCGTGCGCTAATGACTACTCTGGCGAACATAGTTGCAGACGGTAATTCGTACCTGCTACCTGGCGGCTCGGCTTCGTTTTCAATGAAACGCCGAGTATGAAAGCGCGCACCTATCAGCTGCTTCTCACGAAAAACAGGCTTGCGCCGCGAACGATAAAATTACGTATAGTACGCGGTTTCTCTCTCTCTCTTTCTCTCCCTCTCTGTCTCTCTTTCTGCCCGCTACAACTGATCGTTTGTATGACTCACAAATACGAATGAATCGAGACTGGCAGTCTAACTACTAGTCAAACTAGTTCTGTATGGCTATTTTAGGCGACATAAAATTTTACATTTCACTTTTTCTGACGAGATCTAAAATATCGAATCGTAAAGCAAACTACTACAATGGGACAGCTGGAGGTTTTACATGGCGCGCTTTCGTAAATTTCCATTGTGCCTTCGAGGATGAGGAAAGTGGTTTACGCCGCTGGTGTTCCTTCCAACGACTGAAATGTTTCATCTATATCGTAATCTTTGCGTCACTTCTGGCCACTCGGGCGCGATATAATCTTTATAGATATGTGCATTACACGCACGGGTGCGCGAGCGCGGACGAAACGCGCACCGTCGAAGAGGCGGACGAGGCACAGGCACCTTGGGGCCCGCGAGTAATAATAATTTAGCCTTTCCCTTTTTCTCTCTGTCTTTCTTGAGGCGCGCTCGCCGGCGTCCTTCTGAATTTAATAA